CCAAAGTCGAAAAGCAATTTCCTCACATTATAAAGCTCTTAAACATGTTTTTTCTCTGCTGAAAAAAACACTATTACTTATCAGCTTCTCTTTGAAATAGTTCATTTGTTAAAATACCGGTACTTATTCCTAAAATTTCAAATCCACTATGATTGGTTGATTCTGGGTCAAAAGCAGTTGATCCAGTGCAATGATTATTGTTGACCAAAGTGGCGGTGATTTAAAGACTGATGCAGCTTTTATAAGACATAATTAGATGGTGCTGTTTGGAAGCTGCAAATCACTTGTTTTTGTGTTGTTGGTGTATTGACTTTATATTTTAGAGCCTTTAACGATTAACCTAAACAAGAAGAGGTGAACCAAAAATAACTTTTTAAAATCTGTTGTCGATTACTGTGGTTGAAATAAAGGAAGACTGTCACAGATACTGCACTTTGTAGCTATCAGCAAATATATGACACATAAAACGCCTTCTCTTTGGTCGTGTTAATAATTCATGTTGTGGGGGCTTCGTAGGGAGAAGAAATTAAAAGTTCAAAGAAACAAATATGGAGTTCAGCTGATGGTTTCAGACAAAATGACAGCAAAATAAGAATACATGAGGAGACATAAAAGTCCACGAACCTCTGCAGTTATTTTATATATAAAAAAGATCGCAAACTGTCTTTTCTAATCATCCCTCCAGAAACTGAGAGCTGAATAGCTGCGCCTTCTTTTAGAGCCCAGCAATCTGACATATAAATGTTTAGTGGCTTCAATTTGCCTCTCCTATAGACACTTTCTATGGAGGAGTCATCATGCATAAGATATGCTAACCTTTATCCCTATTATCAAACTCATACATATCATTACTCTGTGTTCCCTGGCTTCAGAAAGCAATTCTACAAGATGGGACTTCTGCAGCGGCCTGGCTGTTCATAGGGTATGCACTAATGCAGATAGAAAAACTGGATATACTCCATGTTTTGTATTTTTTGTTTAGCAAGCAGCATTTCATCATAAACAAGGAGACTGGCAGGACTGCAGAGGTCTGTCTGGGGAGTCTCAATGTCACATTGCCACCTAGAGTTGCATCATTGCATGTGGGTGATGCCTTCATGTTTACTTGGATGCGTGCATGCTGATGTGAGCTTAGTGCGCGGGCGCGTGGGCGTCTCTGTGGGTCTCCGGCTCGGTGTGCTCGTGTGCGCTCGAGGTCGAGATGGCCTGAGGACAGGTGTGGGTGTCTGGCATTTCAAGAGCCGGTGTCCGAGACCTTTAGTTCTGTGTCTGACGTTTGTGTGCTGCGGGCGGGAGATCATGGCGAGTCATGAATACAAGAGGAGACACAAAGAAAAGGGTAAAGAGTAAGATGGAGAGACACGGTGAAACTGAAATAAAACTGATATGAAATAAAATCTGATATGAAAAGCATACTTCTAAGCAGCGGGAGACAAGTCTGTTTCTTTTTTTTTAAACTGTAGCTCTGATAGGGAAATATTATTTTCTATGATCACATAAAGGCTGCAACTGAATACACTGCTAGGGTAAATAATCAGACATCAGAGTGAAATTCAATCAAAGGGCTCGTTAAAATACAAATTTCCGCAGCTATCTCTGAGATAAAATCAAAATGTGTGCCATTGTTTGCTATTGCTAAAAAAAAAAAGATCAGCCAAGATATTAGGAGAAGAAATGTCAACGTCAATCATTTTTCTTTATCATTCATTTTTCTTTATCCATAGGAATAATAATTTGCCTAAGGGCTTATAATTTATCTACTTACAATACTTTTTGCACTTGTAAACACGATGGGAAGGTCCAACAAAGAATAGAGTTTATATAAAACATGAAAGACCTTGTAAAGATGCTGGCTGAGGCTCCAGAGGTGATAAAAGTACTCACACATTTTACTAAAGTAAACCTACAGATACTTGTTTAAGAAAAGATAGGTGAAAGAAAAGATACAGACTTAACTCCTTAAGTAAAAATAAAAAAGCACATGTACTACATTGTACTTATGTAACAAAAATTATGCTTTGGTCCTAAAAGATAGAAAATAAAATTTCAATTTTTTAAAAAACTACTTAAAAAACAGTTATATAAAAAGAAAAGTACTTTTTTTTTTTTTCTCTTTTGGTCTTTGTTGATAGAAGGTGTTAAGCCTGGGTCAAAACGGATGCATTACAGTGGGTATTTCTGTGAGTGAGTATTTGAAGTATTTGAAGTATTTGTTACCTCAAGGCTGGACTATTGTAATTCTTTACTATCAGAGATCCACAAACACCCGATCCAAACAGCCTTGGCCTTGAGTTTTTCTCTCCACTGTTGCTATATGCATGCTTGGTGTGTGGGATTGCCTTCCAGTGAATGATTCAATGCAAATGAGTTGGTTTTCTTTAGATAGAAAACTTTGAACCGATCAGGTTGATTTATTTCTGTTAAGTATCTTGAGAAGATGTGTTGTAAATTGGCGCAATTTAAATAAATTGAATTGAAGGATTATCTCTCTTTGCCAGATATTTACCCCTGGTTGTATTACAGCCAAAGGCCTAAACCAGGAATATCCTTCTTGATGAAATTGAATACAGATTTCTCAATAAACTCTTGTCTCTGCTGAACATTCTTATAGTGTTTAGATATTTTTTTAAGGAGATAAGCAATGCACCTTTAGGCAAATTCTTATACCTATAGATAATGTCTTCCTGTGAATCCCTTTAATATGGGCTTGAATATTGTTCCTTACAACCAGTGAACCTAAGTTCATCTCTGATCTTCATTGAAAAGGTCTAACTGTGTGCAGCAGCTCTCAGTCTTCATCATCAATGGCCTGCCCGCTCTCCAGCACAATGTCTCTTGCAAATACCAACGCTCTCTGATCTCACTTACATTCTCCTAGACCTCAGTCTGAAAAGCCTCCTGAATCAAACCCTTACAGATCCATGCTAGTTTGCCTTCAAGCAAGCAAATCCATCAGTCATTAGCTGTCATCAACAAACTCCTTCCTGATCAGTGTCCTTTTTCCCATCAGACCAACCGGAGAGTTCATCTGACTTCCTGGTTTCCAGATTCTTGTTGCTTTTGTAAATCAAATGTTAAAACTCGCTGGTCTATGTGTGATTCTACGTTAGTCAAACAGCTATAAACCAACATGACTGAATATAAGAAACACTGACTCAAATTTGCTTTAAATTCAACTTTCAATCAGTTTAAAAACAAATGTAACTGAACATAAGTCCTGCATAAGCAGCTGAATGATTTTAGAGCTGTGGTAATCACAGAATTTAAGTTGAAAATACCATTCAGATTAAAATTGCACTTCAAACATACCCTTATAAATTTACAATAAAATAAAAGGGTAAAGGATGGCTAATGTTTGTTTTTTTTACTTGTTTTTTTAGAATTTGATCCATCATCTTCAACGTTTCCGAGCCCCCTTGTCTTCATCCATGTTGCCAAAAAAGCAAAGTAACTAAAAGAATACCTAAGTAATCATTTAGTTACTGTGCTGAGGAGCCTCTTGGAGGGTGAGTAGCCAATATCCATAAGCCACAAAAAAAATAAGATTAGATTTTTCAAATGTACTCAGGGACAAGATCTTATTCTTTTGGAGATTAGTCCTTTTGTTCGATTAAACTAAAACTGAAGTGTTTGACTACAGATATCAATGTTACATTTGGGGTAAAAAGAGGGAAGCTTGCTAACCTCGGGAGGTACGGTGATGCAACATCATGTTGGTTAAGCATTTTGCTGGAAGTGGGACTGGTGCACTCTTAAGGAAAGAACATTATATGGAAATATTAATCCTACACTTAAAGACATTAGCAAGGAAGTCAAAGGTTAAAGGCTAGTAGACAATGTCTGCACATGTTGTTGTGCTTCAAAGTAAGCAGAGCACAATTAGTGGCGCAGTAAGGAAATTCCACAACTTTTAATGACTCTACTAGTGTGTTGTGCAGGGAAATCAACAATAAAATCAAAACAGAAAACCAATCCCATTTTAGTGGATTGCTGCTGTGTACACAGGGGCTTGATATCACAGAAAATGTCTGGGAAAATATACAACAGTATGAGCCAGAAAAACCCGCAAAGCTAACATAGTTCTGTCGGGAGAAATGGGCCAAAATTACAGCAAACTACTGTGGAGATATTCTGGAGAGAAAACATTGACCATCAAGTCATGCCATTTAAAAAGCTAATTTAACAAATACTGAGTGTCTGTAAGGTTCTCTTGATTCAGAAATTTAGCTAATCCTAATGTATTAGATCTAATGTCAGACTGCGAGAAAAGAAAGGATACATCTGATGTCTAAAATACAGTATGTGGTAGTAAAGGGGGGCTGCGAAAAATAAAACAGCTATGAAATGAAACTTCTAAGCAGCAGGAGATGAGTCTGCTTCTTTTTTCTATCAAATCAGTAGCAACTAAATACTAAAACAGTATACAACAATAAACATTGATTTTATGTTGTCCTGCTTTCTTTCTGCAAGGAGGAATCAGTTATATCTGTTATAAGCACATTAGGTATCTGATTGGCCAAAATATTCATGACGTTTTTCCTCCATCAATTCATTTTAAATAATTATTTAGAAATACTTTATTGATCCCAAAGGAAAATAAACCTTGTAATAACTCAGGGGTTTTTTATGAGTTGCTGCAGATGCCAATAGCTGTACTTTAGGCAGGAAGGATCTTCTGAAGGTCAGAATGAACTGTTCATGTATTTAAAAATATAGTCGAATGTAATATTTTGCTGTGTTTCAGCAATTGCAAAATGCAATGAACCTCTTTAAAGAATTTGGTCATTTAATAATGCATAAATGTAAAACATTTAAAAGTCAAGCTCAGCCCATTATATTCCCAAATTTATATGGAGCACTAAAATAGATTTGTGATCCATATTATATAAATGTAATACTTTGTCAGGCAAAAATGATCAAAACTGCTAAGTACAGTAATCCAACCAGCAGCAAATCGGCTCTGCAGAGATGATCAATTGTGGAACAAGACTAGGTATAACCTGTCCAGCCATGCCAGCAGGCTCTTGGCAGCGGTGATGAGGTCAACCACAGAGGTCAGCAGATCATTGGGGAGACGCCGTGAGCTCCTGCTCTCCAACTGGCTGCTCCGCCGGCGGCTGGAGATGAAGTTCTGTAGGTTCTTGGCTGAAGCTCCAAGCTTGTGAGCCAGAGTTCTGACGCTCTCCGTCTCCAGACCAGAATTCTAGAGATTAAGATACATGAACATGAAGGTGAGGGAGCACTCCTCAAAAAAAAAAAAAATAATAAAAATACTGCTTTGATTTCTTATTCCCAGTTATGCTATTAATGTTTAATCTAAAAAATGTGATCAACATCATTATTCTGAATGACTAGAAGAGGGTGCGTCATGTAAGAGTGCAGTTCAGCAGGTCAAAACAAGTATGACGACAATGATGAGGATGGCATTTGTAATTTCCAGCTTTAGTTTTCTGAAAACCTGCTGTGCTAACCCTTGTAACCTGCTGGATGGAAACGACACAACATATTTGTTCATTTAGAAATCCATTAATGGTGCAGAAAATGGTTCCCTCTGTTTGGTATTTAGGCAGGGCCTCTCAGGAGTTAGGGCAAGACAGCAGCCTTTCTTTTAGCTTTACTGACACTTGGGAAATGTAAAGAATTGATGCAGGACACAAACAATCTATTGCCAGCCAATTGTTACTCTCTGCACTGAAGCAGAGCGGAACAAATTACATCGACGGCTTTCAAAGGTGCCTAATAGGAGTCAGTAACAGCACTGCGCCACAGAGACACTCACCAGAGCACAGAGAAGGTCGACTGCCTCCAGGATGAGTTCCTGGTGTCCGATCCGAGACACTCCAAGCTCCTCCAGTTCGGCATGGCTGATCCTCAGCAGTCGCTCTCCTGTCACACCTGCCCGCTCAAAAACGCCCACGTATTGCTGCAAACAGTCATCCAGACCTGGAATATAAACACATGCAGAGCTGTCGACATTTGTCACTTAAAATTACTCATTTGCTGGAGATATAAATAAGAACACAGCAGTCTTGGAAATCAGCAGCACATATTAATAGAGGAAGCTGTAAATAGTCCCCTGGAGTTAATAGATTCAATGATGTGCTTTAAGCATTTATGACCAGAAAAAACATTAAACAAAAATAAATGGGTTTTTTTTCCATTAACAACAAAAAGCAGGAGTACAAATGTGACATATTGAAACATTTGTGTTACAGCAAGAAGGTTTTGGAGTTTGGAACTTCTCCCCTTTGCTTACGAGTGACATGATCTTGGCGCTGATCTCTGGCTTGATTAATTTTTTCATTCATCTATCTACCTCCGCCCAGTTCTCATTATCTTTCATCTGATCCGCCTGTTTCAACCTATATTCAACCAGCCTTTAACCAGCCATCAGTGCCAGATTGTTCGAGCCTTTGGTGAGAGTTCTCTAGTGTACCTTAGTGTTTCTGATCCTGACCAATTCTGCCTCTGGACCTCTGAGCTAGAGTCCTGCACGGGTCGAGTTTTACCAACACGCACCCGCCCGAACCCCTTAGGATGACTACCAAACCAAACCCGTCACCCGCGGATATCTTCAATACAAATCAGAACCCGACCCGACCCGTTGATATTTAACCCGAAACCCGACCCGTTAACACATCAAGTAATAGGCTATAGTACGCTGCGCTGCAGAACAGCGCCATTAACACTGCAGCAGACGTGTATGCACTGACTGTGGCCTTGTTGGAGGGAAGCCCACACTGCCGGCAGGGCTTTAAGCTACAACAAGGGTGACCCCAGTGCCTGATTAATATAACATTTCTGATGTCCATAACAACACACACGCATAAAAAAAAAATCACCAACTACCCGCCCGCACTAAAAAAATATCCGCCCGACCCCTTTATTTTTATTTATGTATTTTTCACCCACAAAAGAGCATTTTAGCGGGTGACCCGTCGGGGACCGGCGGGTACCCGACCTATTGCAGGACTCTACTCTGAGCCTGCCTGTTCCGATTCTGATCTAGTCCTGACTTAGGACTCCTGCTTGATTTCTGCCTACCTGTTTATTGAACCTGGAACTCTTCCCCAAGTCCGTTCTAGATTTCCCTTCAGTACCATTTCGGACAATTGATCTCTTTGCACTGATTACTGATTGCCTTCCTTTGTCTGTTTAATTCTCTTGCCCGTTTCCTGACCTCCAAGAAACCAGCATCTGAGACTCTCTGGGCAGTGCCCATCATCTCCCATTGGCAGCCTACAAGCTCATCCTCTGGGCTCGGGCCGAACTGTAAGACCAGGTTAGTAACTCACACGTTTATTATCATCCTCCACCAGACAGACGTTTTCACTAAACTGTGTTCTCCTCCTGCAGAGGTTCCGGCCTTAGAGACTGTTCTCTGCAGTTTCTGTCTTAAATAAACATTATGTTACATCTAACTGACTTTCCGCCTTGAATACTGGGTCCTTTGTTCTGGGCCTGACAATGAGGGTTGTTTCTGGGTACCTCCACTCCCTCCCACTGTCCAGAAACATTATAATTACATTTCTTTGGGTCTGAAAGCTGCCCGTAGGTACTAAACAATGGTGTGTGGGCCTCCCCGGTTGTCCGGTATGCCAATGGGCCCATGCTCTGTCCAGGTTGCACTCGTTGTCCCCTGTGACTTTGACCGAGCGGAGGGTATAGAAAGCAATAAATAAAAAATAATACTGTAGTTCTTTTATAAGACAAAGAGAAATGATTAGCTTAAGTCACTGCAGGGGTGTCATCATTCACTTTCACTCCACGATGTGCTAATTTTGCAATCAATGCACCACACCCAGCCCAAAGTAGCAACATATGGCTGCACTTCAGACTTCCTCATCAGATTCTGCTACCATGCTTTCACTGGTGGTTTCCCTCATAAAGCTATGCCTGCAGGGAGGACAGATTTTCTCTGCACAGGAAAAGGCAGTTAAACTGCTGCTTGTTTCTGTTTGTTCTTTCTAATACAACAGCTGCTGCGTCATGTTTTTCCCAATGCTTTTTCTATGGTTGCAGTTTTGTATATTGCCTTGTTCTGTTAATATTACAGTAGAACATCAAAGGCATTGTATCAAAAGGCTAAAAAAGCCATTTCAGCATGACATCATGTTGGAGGTGGTAGTTACAAGGGTATAAAAAAATATCTATATTATTGAAAGCCATTTGTAACTAGAAGTGTTTTTACTGTAAATTATTCTACAGCAGTGCTTCGGCTCTCCCACAGGGTTCCAACACAAGCTTCATGTTAACACAAAATACTTTGTTTATCTGCCTTTCATCCTTTTGGGCAAACAGATTCTTCACAAAACAGCACAACCTAAATCAGATAGGATGGAGGACAACTGTAAAGACAGATTTTCAGGATTTCCAACTAGTTTAAAATCAGATATAGGAGTAAACTTTAACTGAGTCATTGTTTAACATTGATATGCTCCACCCGTCTTCTCATCCAATTCAACCAAACACCCTGTCTTTGTTGAAGAAAAGCATCCCCCCAGCATGATGCTGTCATGTTTATTGTCTTTGAGCTTTTCAATTTAAAATGTTGGAATTCTTATCAGACTAATATCAAATATAAAAATGATGCTAAATAGTGACATTATAAGACTTCCTCAGACCTCTGAAGTTTGCATTTACCATTCACCGCTTAGAGAAAATTCATCAGCAGATTAAGGTATTTCAAAGTTGATGTATTTTAGTAGAAATCAAGCAATTTTTTTCAGCAAGATTTGTTTTAAATGTAGAGTGCATTTATGTTGCTGTCCACTTTCATGAAAGAAACAAAACATATAGAATAGAGATTTGATAAGTTCAAGTAGGGCCGGTCCGTCTGTCATTGGGTCCCAGGCTATAAAAAATGAAAAAATAACTGATAACTGATTTATTTTCTGAGTCTGAATGTGTTCTCCTCATTACACCCGTCTAATCCTCACTGGTTAAATATGTCAGCCATGACAGGTGGTACCTCCTCCTTTAAAACCCCCAATTTAAACTCCATTGCTAGCAAAAACAGGTAATGAGCAAGTTTCTTTAGAAAGTTTCTTCTGGAAGAACAGTCGGTCCAGTGAAGGGAAAGAAGAGGATTCTGCTACAGATTGGTCCATGGAAATATCCGGGGTGTGAAAAAATATTCGGAGCCTCTGCTCTAAAGGACCCAACGCTGAACCTGAAGCAGGAATCAGGGTGCCAGGACTAAAAGGAGAAATTAAGGAGCAATCAGGCCGTTCATGACTTCCTTTATTCTGCTGGATTATATAACATTTATGAGCATGTGTGGGATGATAATTGGCCTACCAGAGCATGAGCATCCCAGTATCCGTGTGCATGCATTGTTTAGGTGTTTGTGCCTGTGTCTGGTCAGACACTGTTTTGCTGAGTCAAAGGAAAGCAGATCAAGACAGAGCAGCTCAGCTGCAGCCCCTGGCTCCCAAAACAATGAACGCATCCAGCATTCAACAGCTCAACAAACAGGCAACAGAAAACACACACACACACATCTCTCTGAGGACGAAGCATTGATTTCCCTCGCTTCAAGCCCCAGCTTTATAACACAGTCATCTATCATAACCACACTAACAAAGATCGGGATGAAAGAAAGGAAGAAGAAGAAAGGATGAGGATAGGAAAAGGGAAAAGCTCCGAAGCCAGCTGCTAAATTGCTTTCAACCCTTTCACATACACACAGATTTCTTTGCTCATCAGCAACAAGCAAACAGACCTTTTTTCTGCCTCGGTTCCTTCCCTAAGCTGTCACCAAATTCTGAAGTCTAAATGAAGTGTTCGCTCCCAGAATGGCCCATATCGAGTTAGGAAGGGTAAAAAATAAACAGCTTCAGACTGCAATCCATCATAACTTTGAAATATACTGAACCCCTTTAAAAATATAAAGAAATGCAATATAGAATATGTAGCATTAAAATAAAGGGTATTAATACAACTTAAAAATTAGGACATTACCAACTGAAACTTATCTCAATGTGGAAACAAGAAACCCCATGATCTAGATCGCCAAACACTCCCAAGCTGGTAAGCTTTAATGATTAGTCATTGCACGTTTTTCGAGTATGTACATTTAATCTTTACTTAATTCCAGTATTAGTTGGGTTTAAAGTTGGAGCTGTCACAAAAAGAATTAATGTAAAAGAGAAAGAACATTATTTGTAACACCAACTACTACTAGTTATGACACCTAGTAGTAGCTGTTATTATTATCATAATGTATAATATCAAACTATAATGATGATAATCCCTGAATCCAATATTTGCTAGAGCCATGCATAAAAATGAACATATTTGAGTAAACTTATCTGGTAAGAAAAAATTATGTGTGAAGTGAGAGGTAGAATAAATTAATGATGGTGGTTTAGCCCAAATTAAGTAGTTATTAAAAAGTTAAAACACTGACATTTTCACATTTACAAATATCAATCTTGCCCTTTAAGTTGATTATTACAAAAGTATCTTCACACAAAAAAAAAATCAATCAGACAGCTGCAGCTGTTCCAAAATGCTCCTGCTGTTGTTCTCACCAGAAAACTAGAGAACATCACTCTGGTTTTAAAGTCCCCTATACTGGCTTCCTGTGGTTCAAATAATTGACTTTTAAAAATGTTAATTGAATTGTAAATCGATGAACAGTTCAACACCACAAGACTTACTATATAGTCATATGAACCTTACTCAGACCCACTCAGGTCTTCTGTTTCCAGTCTACTTTGTTTTCCCAGAACCGGAACCAAACATGGAGAAGCAGCTTTCAGTTGTTTGCAACTTTAATCTCAATCTAACTCCAACAAACACTGCAAAAAATATGAAACACTAAATTCTTTTAAATCAAGGCTGAAGACCCATCTGTTTAGAGTTTCCTTAGAGAAGTAGTCTTCGAACAAATCCAGGTGAAAAGCTGCTCTAAACAAAATATATTCTTACACATTGAC